GCCAGGTGCAGAGCGAGCCCGGCACCCACATCTCCTCCCCCAGGCCTCGGCCACACCACATTCTTTAAACAGCTGGACCAGCGATAAGCAGATTCAGAGGTCCCCATGCCCAACGCCCTGTGGACCTCTCAGCGGGATGGAGGTTCATTAATGATTACCCTCCCTCCCTCCAGGCAGATCTTCCATCCTGGAGTAAAAGCTCACCTTCCAGGTACCTGCAACGCCCTGCCCAGGGGACTCACCTCTCTCTCCCTCTCGCACTCCGGCCCACCTATCTGGCCTCCCCATCCCATGTGCCCCGCTGGGCGTGGCCTTGGGACCTTCACACAGGCCCTTCCCTCTGCCCCGATGCCCCTCCCCCCTTCCAAGTTTCACAAGACACCTGGCCTCACCTGCACGTCTGCTCAAATGCCACTCCTGCTTCCCTGGAGAGGCCTTTCTCTGACCCTGACATTGCAGCCCCGACCTGCCCACCGCCCCCCCCAACTCCTGGCTGCATTCCCATGACATTCACCTCCCTCCGATGTGTTATACATTTTGCTGACTGTGACCTGTCACCTCCGCAATCCCCAGGAGCAGGGATTTTTCTTTCTCTGGGTCGTTGCTGTGCCCTTCACTCCTGGAGCAGGGCCTGGCATACAGCAGGCGCTCAATATCCGCTGGGTGGTTGAATGAACGATGTGGACCCCCGCTCGGCAGCAGCGCTTGGTGCTCCCCCTCCCTTGCTGCGGTTCTCAAGCATGAGGACCGCGGGCCGTGGCGCCGGTGGCTGCGTGCACTGTCCCCGGTGGACGGGGCCACCATCAGCTGGGGACAAAGCTGGGCCCGCCCAGGACTGAGAGGCAGGACGCGTCATAGGACGGTGGAACGTGGCTGATGTGTTGTGTTTAGGCAGAAGATAGAAGTGTCTCCAGACGTGGCCCAGCGTCTCTGGGACAAAATCATGGGGGTTGAGAAGAGCCTGGGGGGCCCCCCCGGAGGGCCTGGCATGTGCCTCGTCCCGCTGGCCCGCCTCTTGCGTTTGCACCAGGCATTGTGACCGACTCGAAACGCGGAGTAGCGGAACTGCAGTGGGGGCGGACCTGGGGGACCCCGAGCCCCACCTAGCTGCGAGTGAGGGGGGCCTCCGCTACAGATCCTTCCCCGGGGTACAAGATCCGGCCCCCAGGCTCAAGGTGGAGCTCGCTCCAGCCACCTGCCCCCCTGAGACCACGTCCTGGCTCAGCTCCACCCCTGCCCTGCCCCCAGCTTCGTCCTGGGGCTCTGCCTCCAGGAATCTGTACTTGCATGGGGCATTCTCTATTTAAATACTGTCAGTTTTTGTGCAGCTATAGCCATGCACCAAGCTGTCACCTTCCTTGTGTATCCCGTCTCTGCCTGGTTCTACGATCCGGCTCGTGTTGGCCTCACAACAGATACCAAGCACAGGGTGCTGGAGTTCCCAGCACCCCCTCCCAGTTCCCAGGGGTGCCAGCCTGGCCTGCCTGCCAGCCCCCGGGCCTCTTCGCTTCCTGCCGGGGAAGTGCAGCTATAGCCATGCACCAAGCTGTCACCTTCCTTGTGTATCCCGTCTCTGCCTGGTTCTACGATCCGGCTCGTGTTGGCCTCACAACAGATACCAAGCACAGGGTGCTGGAGTTCCCAGCACCCCCTCCCAGTTCCCAGGGGTGCCAGCCTGGCCTGCCTGCCAGCCCCCGGGCCTCTTCGCTTCCTGCCGGGGAAGCTGGCTGGCATGAACGGCCGCTGCTCCTCGGCGACCCACGGTGGTGGGGCGGGGTCTCCGGCTCCCTGGGCACCTGGGCGGGCAGTCTCAGGGGTGCACTGAACACAGGCTCCCAGAGCCCCAGGGGCCCACAGCTGTTCGGGGCTGGGCCACACCCACTTCTCCGGCTCTTTCCGCTCCCCATCTTAGGTCCCTGCTCCCTACTGCAGCTTTCCGGGGCCCCTCCCGGGTAAAGGACTTGAACCTGAATTCTCATCTCAGCCACTTGGCGAGACCCCGATTCCGGGCCTTGGTTTCCTCGCCTGAAAAGGTGGGGCACACAGCATCCTCTCCCGATGCGAGGAGGCAAAGCCCTCCCCGCAGGCCCCAGCCCGAGACAGACCGAGACAGGAGGTAGGGCCAGATGAGCTTTACTGAGCCCTCTCCTAGCCGGCCAGGTGTTTCAGCCGCCAGCAGTGCTGCAGGTATCGGAGCCAGGGGTGGTGGCGGGGCCAGCTGCAAGTGACCTCAGTGGTGGACTCTGAGGTATACTCCAAAGGAGACTCGGATTGGCCTGAGCCCGGCTGCTCAAGCACCACGCTGCCGGTGGGGGGCTGCGCCGGGGACCCCTTCTGAGACTGTTTGCTGGACCTGGAGGTCTTCGAAGCTGAGTCCCCTGGCTCGCTGGAGGTCTTGTTGGGGGTCTGCATGGGGATGGAGGTGTCACTGGGGGTCTGCCCAACGGGGGGCTCTTGGCTGGAGCTGCTGGGCCGTTGCATGGAGACTGAGGACCGGTGGGCCGGCTGGGAGGGGCCCAAGGAGGTGGCTGAGGGCCGGAAGCGCTGCTGGCTGGGGGCCTGGGGCTGGCTGGACGAGTTGGCTCGCGACCGAGCGGCTCGCGACCGAGGCCCGGCCTGCGACTTGCTGGGCAGCTTGGAGCCACTGGCAGAGCTGGTGGCCGGGGAGCGAGCCTGGGACTGCGGCTGGGAGGTGGTGCGTGAGGAGCTCCCGGGAACTGGCTGGCTTGCGGAGGAGGTGACAGCGGGGGACTCGGCTGGTGAGCTCGTCGAGGAATCCGTGGAGGACTTGGGGGACTTGGGGGACGCTGCATCCTTCTGCTGATCGGCTGGCAGGTCCGTGCGGGGGCTGGGCGGGGACTTCACTTGTCCTTTTGCCCCTGGCTCGAGTTTACTTTGGCTGCAAGAGAGGGCCACGGGGGTGAGGCAGGTCTGGCCGCAGCCTCGGACCGGGAGGCTGCGCTCAGCTGCTGGACAGTGAGACAGAGGTCGCTGGGGGCCAGGGTGGGGTCCAGTCAAGGGGTTGGCGGCCATCCTGGCAGGAGCAGATGACCCACACGCACGCACAGGAACATGTGCACACGCATACAAACTCACACGCGTGCGCACACACACACATGTCCTACTTCCTTGGGTGGGGGTTACCTACAGCCGGCTCCGGGGACAGCGGGGGGCCCACCGCCACAGCCGCTGGGGTGACGAGAGCTCTGCTGCGGGCCAGGGCCCGCAGGACTGGTTCCCGAAAGCATGGGGGAGAGAGGTGGACAGTGAGAGGGGAAGGCAGAGCATCACATCCCAGCGACCAGACGCCAGAGGCGGCATCGTAGTCGGGGAGGTGGATAGACCGACAGACAGACAGGGACACACGGATGGCCCCACGGCCGCGAGCACGCACCGTCCCGGGTGAAGCCGGCTGCCATGTCCAATGCTTGCCCGCTGAGCTCTCTCACGACGCTGTCCACGGCCTCGTGATGCTTCAGGAACAGCGGGCGTATGGCGTGACGGTACAGCATGTGGGCCCCGTTCCACGGCCCGGGGGCCATGCAGAACAACAGGAAGGCGCACTGTGGGGGGGGAGTGGGGGCAGGGTCACACGCGCACCCTGACTCCGCGGCCCCGGCCGCCCCCGTGCGCATCCCCTCCCCGGGAGGCAGCCGGGTGGCCCACCTTGCCCACGTAGTAGAAAGGGAACCAGGACAGGAGTAGATCGCTGAAGAATTCGACAAGCCCGAACAGGCTGTATACCACCCAGTAGGTGAGCCACACAGTGTCGTCCTCCTTGCTTGGGCTCTCGACGGCTTTGATCCTGCGGGGAGGGCGCGGTGGGGTCAGCGGCCGCGGAGCCCCCAACGCTCCCCCCTCCCAACAGCCCTGGGCACTCACGAAGCATAAGCGGGGTACACAAAGCCGATGAGATTGCACAGCAGAGACGCCCCGTAGCCGAACACAAGATACAGGCTTAGCAGAGTGGCGGCTCCTGAAGCAGGAAGGCGCAGTGGGCGGGTGCGGGCCCCGGGCCCCCTCTTGGCCCGGCACACGCAGCTCACCCTCGTCATCCCTGCCACAAGCCTCAGCCACCACCCCCTCCAGCACGTGTCCCCCCGCAGCACCAGGGCGCCCCCCACTGTGGCCCTGAATCCCGAGTCTCGGCTCTGCACCTGGTTAGCAGATACTGAGGGATCCCCAAAGGTAGGCAGGGACCTCTGCCCAGGTGTGTATAAGGTCCTGCCTAATAAAGGTTTGCTGAATGAACAAGCGATCGCTTCAGGCCCTATAGGTGGGGCTGGGCACAAGACACCAGTGTCTGACTGTAAGCAATGGGAGGAAAATCTAAAAGCAGTCAAGATGAGATTGCTGGGGAACGGGCGAAAGCAGCAGCGTTTTAAACTATCTTAGTGTAGGGTGTCTCTTTCTCGGCACTGCTGACTGTGGGGGTTGAGCAGCCTCCCTGGCTCCACTCACTCAATGCCAGGAGCACCCCCAGTCAGACGATCAGACATGTCACCAGACACCGCCAGGTGTCCTGACAGGGCAGCGTGGCCCCGCTTGAGACCCCTGGTCTTAGTGGGAGGCGGCAAAGGGTGGTAGAGTCCCCAGACCTCGGAGAGCCCTCTGCTCTGCCGCTCACTCGCCACGTGACACTGAGCAAGTCTCTCGCTGCTTGGAGACTCAGTGTCCCCATCTGTCTATGGGCTGCCTCCCAGGGTTGTTGTGGGGTTCGACAGGGAGGACTCGCCCTCTCCACACATTACAGAGGAGCCTCGGGTCACGAAAACACTCCCAGAGGTGAGGCTGGAGGAGAAGCCTGTGGGGCTGGGGCAGCCACCCCAAAAGCGATGACGGTCACTGTCATCTATCTTATGAAGCGCTTCTTGTGTGTGTGTGTCTCTGTGCATCCCCGTTCTGTCTCACGCAATGGCCAGAAGTAAACAAGCTGGGGGAGGGGGCTTGCCTAGGGTCACTGGGGAGAATTTACAGCCTCCTGCCTCCCCGCCCGGCCCCCAGGCTCTTATCTGCAGAGAGATAGAGGCCACTAGTGGGCCAAAGGGCAGCGTCACCCACACGCTTCCCTCTACCTTTCTTATTCCAGAGTCTGGGGTCAGGAGTGGGAGGGGCCTCCCCAGCGGCTCCTCTAGGTTCCCGCCTGTTATGGGCAGGGGAGGGGGGGGCGTGGGGAGATGGCCATCTGGGGTAGGTGGCACCCAAAGGTGGGGGAACGTCACCCCTTCTCAGGAAATTGCTAGTCGGGGAGCAGCGGCTCTCCCAAGGCACTCCCTCTCAATCCCCATTCCTGCAACCTCAGCAACTGGGAGGATGACCTTGGATAGGGGAGGCGGGGGGGTAATTCAACCTCCCTTCCTCATGGATACTCCAGACAGAGCAGGTGGCAGGGGCAGCCTCCCACGGGACCCCTGAGTCTCCGGCCTCAGTTTCCTCCCTGTGACTGCCAGCCTCCCTGACAGGCCCCTCCCCTGTGCTCTGTGACCTAAATTCCCCACCCACTTGTACCGGGGATGTGGAAAACTAGGCGGAAGGTCAATGGCTTGCTCCCAGGGGCAGGGCCCAAGCCAGCATGAGTTGGGCACCAGGAAGCTGGAGGCACAGATTTTGGACCCTCCCGGGGCTGCCTGGCATGGGGATCGCCCAGTTGGTGGGCGACTGGGAGAAAAGCGGACTCCCAGGAGCTGCGCACAGAAAGTGCTCAAAACGCCTAGCACTGTCCTCACCCAGAGCCGCCCTCGCCCTCGTGGTTCATTCCAGGGGGGTTTCCTGGAAGAGGTGGCAAGGTGGATGGGCCTGGAGCACAGCCAAAGAGGGAAGGAAGGCATCGGTCCGGTGCCTACTAGACAGTTTCGGAAAGTAGCAGGGGACAGCCCGGGCCACTGAGGAAAGGAAGAGGAGGGACTGGAGTGGAAGTCACAGGAGGGGCGGGCGACCTACCTTTCCCCAACCCCAGCACAGCTGATGGACAACCCAGCTCCAACTCGACTATTCAGGCGCAGTGGGCCAAAGCCACTGAGCAGGGAGGGGAGAGGGCGGGCCAGGGATGGGGGCGACCAACGGGAAAACAGAGGGAGCAGAGGTGGACTGTGACCCTTCCCTCCTGGCAGAGACCATCCCCTCGGGAAAACGAGATCTCTACACTGGCTTTCAGGTTGGGATCCATCCGGGAAGGGGGTGGCGACACTCAGGGCACTGGCTCCCTATCTGCCCTCTCCTCCCCCGAGGCCGGCAGGGCGACTGGAAGAACCGGACTTTGGCCTGGCGGGCACCCAGCGCCCCGAAGGAAGGGGCAGAGGATGGCCTCCAGACCCGAGGGCCTAAGTGGGGGTGCTGCGGGAGCCAAGAAAAGGGGTGGCCCGCGCCCGAGGTCTCACGGCGAGGGCGAGAGAGGGGTGGCGGGCACACGGGAGGTTTAGGTCCACGACCCCCCCCGTTACCCCCAGCCGAGATCTCGGTCTCCCCACTAGACAGCGGGTCATGCCCCGCCATCCGGCCCGGACCCCGCAGCCAGGGCCGGCAGGAGGGTGGCAGGTCCGAGGCCGGGGTGCTCCAGGGCTTCAGTGTGCCCGTCGGTGAATCGGGGGCGGCATCGCCGAGAGCCCCTGGCCGGCTCACCCGCGGCCAAGTACCGCTTGTCGACACCGGTCCTGGCTTCGAGCGCCCTTAGCGCTTCGGTGGCCAGGTTCCTCTGTTCCAGAAGGCGCTCGAAACGCTGCCGCAGGCCGTCCATGGCACCGGCGGGCCCGACGCTGGCAGCCCGAGACCGAACGCAGCCCCGCGCACCGGCCCCCGCGCGCGG